AGGAGTAGGCTCTCCTGTTGTAACGCTTCGCGTTTGTCCAGTTCCAGTTCCAGTTCCCAGGCGGCCCCAGGCGCCTCCCACGCGATCCGCGCCCTCGAGCGTTCCCACACGGTCCCAGGCGCTCCACGGCCGGCCCCGAGCGCCCCCGGGCGTTGCCAGGCGCTCGCAGACGCTCCCAGGCGCTCCCACACGCTCCAGGAATGCCCAGGCGCTTCCAGGCAGCGCCAGGCGCTCTCCCCAGGCGGCCCCAGGCGCCTCCAAGCGTTCCAGACGCTTGAGATGTTCCCAGGCCCCAGCGCCCAGGCGTTCGTAGGCGCTCGCAGGCGCTCGTAGGCGCTCCCAGATGCCCCAACCGCTCCGGTGCGCTTCAAGACGCTCCAGGAGCGCCCAAGCGCCCCCAGGCGCCCCCAGCCGCTCTCTAAGCGTCCCAGGCGCTGCCCCAGGAAACCCCAGCAAGCTTCAGAAGGCCTTAGAAGGCCCCAGAGGAGGCTCCAGAAAGCCCTAGGCCTAGGAGGGCCACAGGAACATCCAAGGAAACCACAGAAAGCCACCAGGAAGTTTAGTCAGCGCGGTCTGACGGACCCCGAGAAAGCACTTCAATGTTTTCCACACTCACCACCCTCGCCTCGCATTCGTTGTTCGGCGTTCGACGCTCGTCGTCGTCGTCACTGTCGTTCGTCGTTCGGCGTTCGTCGCCCATATGTGATCGTTTGTCGTTGGTCGTTCGCCGCCGTCGTCGTTCGCCTATAGTCGCGCCGCGATACATCCGCGGGGGAGTGCGGCGGACGTCATGCTCCCCCTCTTCAAGGGGGCGGCGTGGGGTGGAGGCGAGGAGGGAGCTCGCTTTCGGGCGCGGCCGGGGCAGGGTGGGGGGGGTGGGACACGGGCATCGCGAGCGCGCACCAGCGCGTCCCACCCGTAACAATCCATGTGGAAAAGGGTGGGGGCGCGCGGTCCTTTTCATCATTCCGTCTTTGTTTTGTTTCGCGTGTGTTTGTTTGTTGTTTGGTGTTCTCTCTCTCTCTCTCTCTCTCCCTCTCTCCCTATGCATGTGTATGTATATAAATGTATGTAGGTGTGTATGCATGCATGCATGCATGCCTGTCTGCCCGTCTGACTGCCTGCATGTGTGTATGAATGTATGTATGTGTGTATGTATGCATGCATGCATGTATGTATGTATGTATGTATGTATGTATGTGCGTCTGTATGTATGTATGCATGCATGCATGCATGTATATATGAATGTATGCATGCATGCATGCATGCATGTATGTATGTATGTATGTATGTATGTATGTAGGTATGTACCCAGTTACTTATATGTACGCACATATGTATGTATGCGTGCATGTATGTATGTATGTATGTATGTATGTATGTAGCTACGTATGTATATATGCGTATGTGTGCACGGCTGTACATGTATGTATGTATGTATGTATGTATGCATGTATGTATGTATGTATGCATGTATGTGTGTATGCACGTGTGTGTATGTGTGTTTATATGCATGTATGTATGTATGTATGTATGTATGTATGTATGTATGCTTGTATGTATGTATGTATGTATGCCTGGTTGTATATATGTATGTATATATGTATGTGTATATGTAGTTATGTATGTATGTATGTATACATGTGTGTATGTGTATACGTATGTGTGTATGTATGTATTTATGTATGTGTGTAGGTATGTATGTATGTATGCATGCATGCATGTATGTATGTATGTATGTATGTATGCATGTATGTATGTATGTATGTATGTGTGTATGTGTGTGTATGTATGTATGTATGTATGTATGTATGTATGGTTGGGTGTATGAATGTGTCTATGTATGTATGTATGGTACACCCCACAAGGACCTACCTCAGTATGTGTTGTCGTATTCGCCTCGTTCGTCTTCTCGCCCAGATGCACGCGTAGATGCACCCGCAGGTGCACATGTATCCGTGGACACATGTGCATATGGATACGGAAAGAGGAAGAGGATGAGGATGAGGAGGAGAAAGAGAAAGAGGCGGAGGGGGGGAGGAGGAGGAGGAGGAGGAGGAGGAGGAGGAGGAGGAGGAGGAGGAGGAAGAGGAGGAGGAGGAGCAGGAGGAGGAGGAGAAGGAGGAGGAGGAGGAGGAGGAGGAAGAGAACGATAAAGTAACAACAGCATGGGAGGAAGAGGACAATTCCATCAGAGGCGGAAGGCGGTTGAAGGAGGAGGAGGAGGAGGCTCCCGTCTAAGAGGTCCCAAACCAACTCTCTTTGGAGGAGGCTCCCGTCTGAAAGGTCCCAAACAGTCCCAGACAGTACGAAGTTCCCGCCTGAGAGGTCGCAAAACATTCAAACAAGATGAGACTCTCGCCTGAGAGGACCAAAACAACCCAAACAAGATGAGGCTTCCGCCTGAGAGGCCCCAACAACACCCAACGAGGAGGCTCCCGCCTGAGAGGCAACAGAGCAAAGACACCCAAACGCAATGCTTCTCATCCCTGCACCTGTTCCTCTTTTCTAAACAAAACAAAGGTCCAGAGGAGATGGCGGCCCTCGTCAATGCATCAGGGGCAGCGGCGTCGGCTCTCTTCTGGAATTTTGTTTTACTTTGTTTTGACAGTAGCAGGGATGAGCGGCATGCTATCTGGATTTCCGTGGGTTTGTTTGGGGCCTCTCATGCGGGAGCCTCCTCCTCTTTGGTCTTTTGTGGGACCTCTCAGGCATTTTGGGACCCTTCAGGCGGGGACCTCATCTTGTCTGGGTTCGGGGGGGGGCTCTCAGGTGGGAGCCTGCTCCTGTTCGGGATTTCTGGGGACCTCTCACGCGGGAGCCTCCTCCACACTGCACTGTTTGGGAACCTCTCAGGCGGGAGCCGGCTGTGATGGCAATGCTCATGTCATCCAAGAGGAGGGGGGAGGAGGAGGGGGGGAGGAGGAGGGGGAGGGAGGGGATGGGAGGGAGGAGGGAGGGAGAGAGGGAGGGAGGGAGAGAGAGGGAGGGAGAGGAGGAGGAAGGAGGAGGAGGAGGAGGAAGGAGGAAGAGGAGGAGGAGGAGGAGAGGAGGAGGGGAAGGAGGGAGGAGGAGGAGGAGGAAAAAGAGTAAGAGGATGAGTCTGATGAGCAGGATGCGGATGAGGAGGAGGAGGGGGGGGGAGCAAGAGGAAAAGGAGGAATAGGAGGAGGAGGAGGAGGAACATGAGGTGGAGGCGGAGGAGAATGAGGATCATGAGGAGTCCGCGACGGGATATCCAGCGGGAGGGGAGGAGGGAAAAGAGGAGGAGGAAAATGATCATGAGGCCGCGACGGGATGCTCAACGGGGGAAGGAGGAGGAGGAGGAGGAGGAGGAGGAGGAGGAGGAGGAGGAGGAGGAGGGAGATGAGGACGAGCAGAAGGATGACCCCCCACCATCGCCCACAGGCAAGCGGGCCATCCTCGAGCGGGCTCATGCCAACTGCATTTCGGAGGAAAGGGGCGCCATGCTCTCCAAATGGGTGTAATACCCAGGGGTGTCGCTGAAGGCGCAATGCCTGTTTGGGATGAAGATGGCAGCGGGGATGCGATGCAGCAGGGCGGAATGCTCCCGGTTTTATCCGCAGGGGAGAAGAACGCAATGCTTTAGGAGGACGAGCGCAATACTCCAAAACGCTGGGCGCAAGGCTCGTCATATGGGCGTGATAACCAAGGGCGCGATTAAGGCGCAATGCTTGTTTTCTTCCGCGTAGCGCTGATTCTCTTTGGGTGTAATTTTCTTCACGCGGGCGTAGTGCAATGCCCTGTCTGTTCATCGAGGCACAATTCCTGCTTCGAGCGCAAGGCTCCACGAGTAATTGGATATTGCCCCTTACTCTTCATCCACCACCCTTCCCTCATATTCGCGCTCCTCTCGCCCCTCCCTAGGGGCAGCCGCTTGGGCCATTTTCGAACTCTCTCGGGCCGTCGCAGGGCTATATTCGAGCTATCTTGGGCCGTCTTGAGCCGACGGAAGTTCGAGAAGGCGAGTCTGCGAAAATCTTCGAAACATTTCGGGGGATCCAGGATTGGGGCTTCCTCGGGCCTTGCTGGAAGTGTTCCTTGGAGCCCGGTTCGGTCGTCTTGGAGGCCTCTTGGGCGATCTTGGGGCCATCTTGGCGGCTCTCGTTGCCGGCGGAGCCTCGGGAACAGGGCGCAACGTTTGCAGCGAGGCGCTATCAGAGGGGGGCCCTTAGAAGAATACAGAGATCCCACCATAACGAGCTGGTGTGGGAGTGGATGCGCAGGGTGCCCGCCGACTCGCGGCCCCGCCGCTGGGGTTAAGTGAAAGGCCTGCGGCGCGTCAATTGCCAACTTTAGGTCAGCGTTGGCACCCGCGGCGAGAGCCGCGGCGTAGACGCGGGTAGCTCGACAGCGCCGCGCGGGGATTTCGCCGGGGGTGCCCGCACTCCTTCGCCCCGCAGTGTGAACTTACGCAATGCCAGCGGGTCTTGGAACCCATGCGCATCGCGCTGCAGGCGGGCTCAGTCAGCCCGCCGCCACCGCGTCATCGCCGTTCCTCACACTTACCACACTTACCAGGAGCACAGCGCTATGCCATCGCTGTGACTTGTCGCCGCCATATGAAACGGCAGACGCGCGTGCTCGATTGCACCCGAGGCTCGTCATCCGCATCGTTCGGTTGGTTAACGTTCCATCTGAGACGGCGCCCTCGGTTCGACCGGGGCAATGCCTGGGGTCGTCGATGATCAGCGGGGACGTCGCCTCGCTGTGGCGGCGAGATTATTTCAAACTAAACTAGCGCCCAGCAGCTCGATCGCAACGGTTGTCGCCCATCGCCGCCACTCGCACTCTTCCTTTCCCCTGTCGCCCCCCCCCCCCCCCCTCCGCGAACGGGCTGTCATCGCTGCGGCTGTTCCGTGGCAGGGTCGGCAGCCGGCGCCGCGGGCGCCCGCGCCTCCCGCGCGCTGCCTCGCCCGCGCCATCGCGCCAGGGGCCTGGGGCGGCCGTCTGCCGTCGCCCCGCCACTGCCTGCGGAGGCGGCCCAGACGGTGCTTGAGCGACCTCTTGCAACCGAGACCGGTTTGGAAGAACGCGCCGTGCGTCGGGCGGGAGAACGCGACGCCTGGCAGGGGCCTGCGCCGCGAGCGAGCAAAGTGGAAGCGCGCGCCCCCGGAGCTCTGGGCGGCGCTGGGCGCGGAGATCGCGGGCGCGCTGCCGGGGGACAAGCTGCTCGTTGACTGGACTGGGGCGGCGCGCCCCATCTGCGGATGCAGCGCGCGCGGGGAGTTAGTCGCCCGCCTGCGCGAGGGCGATTGCCTCCCGGTCCCGCGCCGTCGCAGCGCGAGGCGCGCGCCCCCTGCCCACCTGAACCCAACCTTCAGCGCGCGTTTGGTTTCCGAGAGCCCGCGCAACCAGGCCGTGATTCATTTGGCGGAGCTCCCGAGGACCCCCCGCGCGAACGCCCGCGCCATGTCTGGCGCCAACCACAAGGCAGCGGATCGGATCTGGAGCAGCGTTGAGCACGCGCGGAGAATGCGCGCGGAGGACGCGAAGCCGACCAGCGCACGCAGAGGGCCGAAGGCGTGGGCAGACGTGGAGGCCGACGCGGCGACCTCCGACGAGATGGATTTGACTGACGGCCCCGAGCCTCAGGGAGACCCGATTCACCCCGCCACGCGGGGGCAGCGGTTGGGCGCGGTGCGGCGCGGTGAGCCGCGCGCGCTGCCTCTTACGAGACTGAGCCCCGAAATGGCGGGGGATCGGGCGCCTGGCCTTGGGGCCGCGCGCAAGGTAGACTGGAAGCCCCTTGCGGAAAGCTGGTTGGGAAAAAAAAAGAAAAGCGACGTTTTCTTTCGCAGTGATTCGGCGCGTTCCTACAAATTACGCGTGCCTGGTGCCATCCACGACTTCGTTGTCCACCAGCAGAAGTGCAACGTCCTCGGCGGCTAGAGGGCGCTGATTCCTCCCAGGTAACTCGGCGCGCGTAGTTCAACGTATTCCGCGCAACGTACAGTGTGGATAATCTACCGCGGCAGGCCTGCGGGGGTAGGCTTTGGTAGTGCGTCTGCACTGCGTGGGGGTGCTGCCGTGGGTGCTATCCTTTGCGCGCCAACGCAGCGGTTTGTCGTTCACAATGACTGCGCGCCCGCGGGGCCTGGAACCCGCGTCGGATTTCTTGCGGGTCCAACCCTGTTATCGCCACTGTGCCGTGGCATACTCTGGGCTACGTTGTGATGAGGACAACATCACCAATTCGTCCTTGACGGGGTGTTCATCGAAGTCTCATTGGGATGCTCTTCGGGCGCGATAAGAACCAACCGGCTCTGACATTTGCTTCGTTCTGATGTGAGTAGTTATGCTATTATGTTTATAGTTAGTATGGATATCCAGCACATGAAATGCGTTTTCATGCTTAACCCTTTGTATATACTTATACACGAATACCATTGGCATCTCAACATCGGTCGGCCTACTGCGCCACAGCACATAAAGGTAGGTCACTGATTGGGGGGGTAACATCTGTACACTTCCGCACCGCTCTTGCTCCAAACCGCGGCTCGGGGTGGCCCCCCGCCGCAGACAGGCGCTTTCGTGCTCAACTTTAACAAGCGCGTCACGCAGGCCAGCGTCAAGAATTTCCAGCTCACGAATGACGAGGACCGCGCCCGCGCCGCGCCTCCTGCCCGGCACGGCCGCCGGCCAGCCCCGAGTTGCTTCCCCTCCTCCTCCTCCTCCTCCTCCTCCTCCTCCTCCTTTTGTTCCCCCTCCTCGTCCTCCTCGTTTTCCTGCTCCTCCTCTTCCTCCTCTTCCTCCTCCTCCTCCTCCTCCTCCACTCCGTTTCTTTCTGACTATCCTTTTCGTGTCGCGCCCCGAGGCCAGTTTTCAGGGCGGGCTGGGCGTTCCGCCTGACATTCTTTACCACATATGATTCGGAAGCTTAAACAATGGCAGCAGCTTCGCAAATGGAGGGCGGGTCGTTTTCAAAATTTGTTTCTCGTTTCAGCGCCGCGCACATTCGTTTTATGAGCTTGAAGGAGGTTCGCGGATTGGGGGCGGGTCGTTTTCAATTTGCGACTCTCGCTTTAGCGCCGCGCATATTCGTTTGAGGATGCTGTAAGAGCTTTACGGATTGAGGGCGGGTCGTGTTTTTCAAAATGTGGTTTTCGCCTTCGCGCCGCGCACATTCGTTTCGAACAGCTGCAAGAGTTGCATGGATTGAAAGCGGCCGTTTTCAACATGTGGTTCTCGCCTCAGCGCCGCGCGCGTTCGTTTTAAAGATTCGGCCGTTCTTGTTCAAAGTGTGGTTCTCGCCGTAGCGCCGCGCACATTTGTCATTTTTTTTTTTTTTCAAATTTGCAATTGTACAGACAGACGCACACGTTCACACATATGTGTATATATATATATGTATAACGGGTTCCCATGATCGGCGTACGGGAAATGGTATTTTGGAATGGGGTTTGGATTTTGGGGGCGCAACAGTTAGATTGGTTCGCGGTGTTGACGTCCCAAGAATGGCGTCTTGATTCGATTAAACACCGCCAATACGTAACAGACAGGTTGATCCGTCGTGCTGGAACCCTGAAAGTACTGTTTGGGCATACCTTTGGGTTTTCAGACTGTTGTCTGTCAGCGAGGCAGTTCCTTCAGTGGAAATGTCCCGTTGTAGGGGCCTGTGCAAAAAGAGCTACAAGCGGGTTTACTCCAAAATCGTTGATGGCGCTTGGGTTTACATTGGTCCCGTTCCTCCTCCTCCTCCTCCTCCTCCTCCTCCTCCTCCTCCTCCTCCTCTTCCTCCTCCACCTCTTCTTCCTCTCCTCGTCCTCCTCCCTTTCCTCCTCCTCCTCTTTTTCTTCCTCCTCCTCTTCCTCCTCCTCCTCCTCCTCCTCCTCCTCCTCCTGCTGCTCCTCCTCCTCCTCCTCCTCCCCCATTCCCGTCCCCCCGCTCGTGCCGCCCCGCCGCGCGCCAGTTCCACTGTGGCGTTCACGGGAGGGGGCACGGGGAGCACGAGGGAGACGAGGCGAGACAGGGGCGAGGCGAGGATAAGGAGGATGAGGGGGGGAGGAGGGGAGGAAGGGAGGAGGGAGAGGGGAGGGGAGGGGAGGAGGCGAGGATGAGGAGGAGGGGGGGGAGGAGGGAGGAGAGGAAGGAATGGAGGGGAGGACGGGGGGAGGGGAGGGGGAGGAGGGGAAGGAACGAGGGGGGGGAGGGGGGAGGAGGTGGGCGCACCCTTGCCCCGCGCCCGCGGCGGGCTCGGTCTCAGGGGCCCTCCGCTCTCCTCGCTTCGGCTGGCGCGCCTCCTAATTACCTCCCGCTATCCCCGCTTCGGCCGGTGTGCCTCGTCCTCGCGGTCGTCCCTTCGGCCCCGCTCTTCCCCTTGCGCGCGCCCGCCTGCCTTTGCCGCTCGGGGGCAGCTCCGGGGGGGGAGGGATAGGCGCAGGGGGGGAGACATCGAGAGGATCATCGAGAGGAGGAGGAGGAGGAGGAGGAGGAGGAGGAGGAGGAGGAGGAGGAGGAGGAGGAGTGTGTAAATCCCAGATTCATCAACGACGTTATAATAGAACCTGCTTCCAAGCTCCCTCATCACGGGCCCCTGGAAGGATTCATGTCCACTGAGGGAAGTGCCCCGTTGCGATACAACCGTTTGAACATCCCGAATCGCGCCAATACAATTACTTTCGGGGCCCAAACGCCACGAATCAACTTGTCTGTTACGTTTTGACGATCCTGAATCGTGCCAGAACACCATTCTTCGGATTCGAACACCGCGAATCGACGTACCTGTTGCGCCTTGATAGTCCTGAATCCTCTCAAAACGAAATTTCTGGTACATTCTGGTACATTGATCATTTGAATCCAGGATATAGTTGCAAAGTATTAATACGAATGCGCGCGGCGCTAAAGGCGAGAGGACCACATTTTGAAAACGGCCCGCCCTCAATCCGTGAAACCCTTGCAAATGTGTCAGACGAATGTGCGCGGCGCTACGGCGAGAACCACAGTTTGAAAATGGCCCGCCCAAAATCGGTGTTTTTTTGTTTCAAATGGTTCAGACGAGTGTGCGCGGCGCCAAGGTGAGAGCTACATGTATTTCAGACGAACGCGCGCGGCACTAAGGCGGGAACCACATGTTGAAAACCACCCGCCCTCAATCCGTGAAATTCTCACGTACTTCTAAGCTTCAGGATCATATGTGGCATGGAAGTGTCAGGCGAAACGCCCGGCCCGCCCTGCCGACAAGCCTCGGGGTGCGACAGGGAGGAGTTATGTGTAAGAAAAAGGAGCGGAGGAGGAGGAGGAGGAGGAGGAGGAGGAGGAGGAAGAGGAGGTCCTTCCCGTCGTCGCCCGGCAGCGACATCTCGAAGGATGATCGTATTTCCTCTCGCCTCTCCCTTCCCTTCCGCTCTCCACAGGAGGAGGAGGAGGAGGAGAAGGAGGATGAGGAAGGAAGAGGAAGAGGGATGAGCACGTCACGTCAGGGGGCCGGTCTCACGAGGGGGACGCATCGACCCCCAATCCTTTATGAATCGCCGACGGGGGGCCGATAGCCCACCCCGCCCAGGCGCGTCTGCCTCCCACTCTGGATGTCGGCGCCTTCCTCTTGGCATCTGCTTCTCACGCCTCCAGGGAGGGCCACGCTCGCACGGCCACAGCAGGACCCGCCACAGTCGCCGAGCTATCCCCTCCTGCCTCGCAGAACTTGTCGCGCGCGGCGGCAGCATCCACGAGCTCACGTTTCCCGTGCTGTGCAGCCTCGTCGGCGGCATCGTCGTCGACGTTCCTCTCCTCCTCGACCCTTTCCCTGCCCGCCCCTGGAGGGTGAGAGGCGGAGGAGGAGGAGGAGGAGGAGGAGGAGGAGGAGGAAGAGGAGGAGAAAAAAGAAGAGGAGGAGGAGGTGGAGCAGGAGGAAGGGACCGTCTGCCTACCCCCCCCCCTGGTTGTTTCCTCCGCCCGGAACTCCCCATTTCGCCCCACAGCGGGTTTGCTGCAGGACTCCCCGGACCCGCCCGTCTTCCTGCAGTTTGGACGCGTCGGAAAGGACGTCTTCAACATGGACTTTCGACATCCGTTTTCGCCGTATCAGGCCAGTTCTCCTCCTCCTCCTCTTCCTCCTCCTCTTCCTCCTCCTCCTCGTCCTCCTCATCCCCCACCATCCCCAGGGGCGCGCAGTATTAGGGGAGGGAGGGAGGGAGGGAGGGAGGGACTGAGCGACGGAACGAGAAGCGGAGCTGGGAGATGGAGGAGGGGAGGGAGGAAGGCGTGGGGAGGAGATGGAGGAGGGGAGGGGATGGGGGGGGAGGGGATGGGGAGGAGGAGGGGGCAGGCAGGAAGGGAGCGGCGCTGTCCGCGAGTTGAGGTGATCAGGGAAGTGCGGCAGCAAAGAGGAGGACGGCCGAACCGTGCAAAGGAGTGAAGAGGAGAAGGAGGAGGTGGATGGATGGATGGATGGATGGATGGATGGATGGATGGATGGATGGATGGATTGATGGATGGATGGATGAGGGAGTGGGAAGAAGGAGGATGAATAGGATGAGAAGAAGGCGGACGAGGAGGAGGAGGAGGAAGAGAAGGAGTAGGAGCAGGAAGGAGGAACAGGAGGATGAGGAGGGCAAGCACAAGGGCCAGAAGTCTCTTGGATGCCCCTCGGAGCCTCTTGGGGTATCTCTTGGGCGATTCTTGGTGGCCTCTTGGGACATCTTGGGTCTCTTGGCGATCCTGGGGGGTTCTTCGGGACCTTGGGTGCCTCGGGGGGGCCTCTTGGGGCCGCTTAGGGTCTTCTTGGGGGCCTCCTGGGGGCCTCTTGGGGGCCTCTTGGGGCCATCTTGGGGCCATCTTGGGACCTCTTGGGGCCTCCTGGGCGCTTCTTGGGGCCATCTTGGAGGAGATCGGTCAACAAAGGGGGGGACCTTAATTAGGGTCCCCCCCAGGAGGCCAAAATGGGGCCAAAACCAGAGTAAAATCAATGAGTTTGGCTTCCTCGCCGAGGCCGTTTTGGACGCTCTGACACCTCCCCGCCCCATCCCGTCCAGGTCCACGGGGAGGGGGTACGGGCAAGGGTAAATCCCATCCCCGAAGGGGAAGAGGGAGGGGTAGAAGAGAACACGCCCTAAACCACCGACGCCCAGAGGGCTGGTGGGATTATGACGAGTACCCCGAACTCAGGCGATCCAGTTCGTCCGTGGGTCAAACCGTTGCGGGCCTAGACGCCGACCCAACGCTTTGGCTTCATGGTCTGCCTCCAGAGCACCTTGCAGTTCCGCGGCCTCAGAAGATGCCCTCCTGGATTTGGAGTTGTCTCTCAGGGCTGGAGCGCTGGGCGACTATCGGGGGAGTGCGGTCGGGTGGCGGCATTCGGGGGCGGGTCGGGGGGGCGCCGTTCGGATGGCCCGGGGGGGCGACGCTGCGGAGCGGCTGTCGCTGCTATCAGTTGGCGCCCCTGACCGGTCAGTGGGGCCAGGTAGCCATTTTGGTTAGACCCTTGACGGGCCCTCTTCATTCGGTCCCACGGGCTGAAACCCCTGGAGGGCGCGGGGCCCAGAGAGAGGGGGGGGGAGGAAGCTCAAGAAGAGGAGAGCAGAGGAGGAGGAGGACAGAGGAGGAGGACAGAGGAGGAGGAGGAGGAGGAGGAGGAGGAGGAGGAGGAGGAGGAGGAGGAGGAGGCCATGGCACTCAAGGGCAGGACAGGCGCACTGTTGTTTGTGACCCGTCACCGGGCCTTCCTGAGAGCCCCCGCGCGCGCGGCGCCCCCGCAAAATCATGGGCGGTCCCATTGGGGACCTGTGGCATGGAGTTCGTCAGGCCCTGCAGAGCAGGGGCGAAAGTGATGGGCCTGTTTTTTCCCACCACCACCACCACCATAAGTTGGAGGGGGGAAGGAGGTGGAGGACGAGGAGGAGGAGGAGGAGGAGGAGGACGAGGAGGAGTAGGAGGAGGAGGAGGAGGAGGAGGAGGAGGAGGAGGAGGAGGACCCCCTCCCCCTCCAACTTATGGTGGTGGTGGTGGAAAACAAGCCCACCAGAAAGAGAGGTCGAGCTCGAATGGGCCCCCTCGTGCGCTCAGCTGCAGTCCGAGAGGCCGGCAACCTCCAGAGGCCGCTTCCTGGCGGCGGGCAGGCAACGCAGTCGCGGACGTGGGGCCGAGATCGGGGCGAAGCTGGCGTGGGAGAGAGGGGTCGTGCGCAAGGCGACGCGCGGCGATCTCTGGGGTCCAGCTGTCTCCCGAGGCCGGTGTCGACCGAGCTGAGCGCGTCGAGCGAGCTGCCAGGGCCCCACGCCAGACCGCGAGGCGGGAGGCCGTCGCCCGTTCTGAGCACACGATGCGTGAGGTTGGCCCGAAGTGGCAGTGTAATGTTCACTCATGCACTCACGCATGCCATACGCCAGAGCGCGTGGGCGAAAGAAGACAAGACAAGGCCAGCCGATTCTCACCGCTTTGCGGGAGCGGCGGCACTACGGCGGTCGCGTAAAACACAACGTGCGCGGCAGCAGGAGGAGGAGCAGGAGGAAAGAGGGAATACAAACGGCCGGCGAATGATACGGAAACATTACACTTGTCGGCCGGCATTCGCCGGCCGACAAGTGTAATGTTCAGGAGGGAAAGAAAACAGACACAATGAATCGTTGATTCCCAGGAAAATATGGGAACATATGAGAGGGGGGGGGAGGCAAACACCCGGAAAATACGGGGAAGAGATTGGGGATCTCGTTATTGTTTGTGTCTATTCGTTTGTGTGTCCCTGGGCCCCTTCAGGTGTCTCCAACTCGTTCACTCCTCCTCCCTCCTCGAGCCCTGTGCTGCCCAGTGGCGCGCTCCTCCCTGTGCCGTGCGCGAGGGCCCCCAGGGCGAGAGCGCAGGAGGAGTTGCGGCAGGGTGCAGCCGAGGCCATCCACGAGTCCCACAGAGCGACATGGTGGGGGCCCACTCTTTTCATGTCTGCCACGAGTGCGGCCGATTTGCGACAGCTGATTCCAGGCACCTCCGCAAGTCCTGTCCTGGAAGCACGCCCAGAGGTAGTGAGAGCCTGGCCAGACTTGCGAAAGGGGCTCTACCCAAGAAGGAAAGGGCCCCTAGAGCGGTATGCGAGGCGGTGCGACAGGATGACGAGCGGGAGGTGGTCCAGAGTTTCCAGGCACGTAAGGAGCTGTTTGGAGACGGGGTTTCTTTTTCCTTTGGTCCTGGGCAGGGGTCAGGCTCTGGGGAGCCCGCGAACCTGGTCGGTCCGTCCTCTGGCCCTCGGACCGCAAGCGGCGCTTTTGTCTGTGAGCCAAGGGCTGTGCCTCTGGACCCAGAGGAAGAGGCGGCTGACTGGCTCCTCGGGGGATGCACGCCCCCGCAGTTCACAGTTCCCCAGCAGCGTCGATCATTAGCGTCAGCTCTCGGTCGGGGCTTTTCAGGGTGAGATCGCGGTGGAACCGCTCTCTTTAGAATCCTCCTCCTCCTCCTCCTCCTTCTCCCCTTCCTCCTCCTCTTCCTCCTCATCCTTTATCTCATCCTCTACAGCCTCCCCCTTTGGCGAGATTCTACTAGCCCGTCGCAGATCTCGCGGGAGCACCGGCCCTCGGGGCCGCATCCGTCTCACGGCCGGAGCAGCCTGCACCAGGTGCCCTTCGTCGCCTTCGCTCTCGCCTTCGCCTTCGTCGTCGTCGGTTGCTCCTCTTGCTGGTCGTTTATCGTTTGACCTTGGAGAGAGATCCTCTGGGTTCCTCCTGCATTGGCGACTTCCTCGATCGATGCGCGCACTCGTCGGTTGAACTTGCGGGTGGTTCCGACGGTGTTTGTTGTGGCCTCCGCGTGCGGGCATTGGGGGTCGTTTGCATTTTTGATGTTCGATTTGCGCGATCGCATGCTTTCGGGCAGGGGGAGGAGGAGTGGCGTTTTCAGTGGTTTCGGAGGGCGTCTCAGGTTGTCGCCGTCGTCGCCTCTCCTGCAGAGGGGTGTGGCAATCCGCTCGAGGCTGGATCCTGCTCCTCAGGAGGAGCAGGAGGAAGAGAAACAGTAGCAAAAGGAGGTGACCGCCTCCTCCTCCTCCTCCTCCTCCTCCTCCTCCTCCTCTTCATCCTCCCTCGTGATGCAGGCGTTCGCCATCTGCCTGAGCTCGTTCGACTACAAGCTTTGCTGTGAGTAGTCAGCCTCAGTGGCGCCATTAGTTGTGGCAATGCTGTTGCCACCGCCATTCGTACAGTCGCATGGGCTTCAGCCTGGATCATTGCGCCCGTCGTCCAAGCGGCCCACTTCAGGGTGTGGACACGAAATGACAATATGTCTCAGTATGGGCTTGCGCCATGTGGTTCCTTACCTCCACTTTGAGACGAGAATTCTTCTGAAGAACCTAATGCTCATAATGATTTGACGAATCTTTCCTATCGTGGGCCCAACGCTGAGCTATACTGGAGCCTCGTGCCATCTTATTTGACCATCCTGGGGACCTCTTAGGGCCTTTTGCACTGCCCTGGCGGCCTCTTGCGATGGCAGCGGGGTCGAGTACATCAACGAACTATACCAGCAGTCCGTGGATAAGCATGGTTTGCACCAATCGCAGCCAGTGCATTTACAGTGAACGCGCATGGAAAGTATAAGAAATATCCCCGAGTAGCCATGCATCCTTGCTTCTTCGACCCATCCTTAGCCAGTCCTTGGCTGAAAATGGCGTCAACTTGGACGTCCAAGAGGCATGTATCCTCACCATTTCTCGTTACCATACGCGTTGGATGCGAACTCTAACTACGTGGTTGAAGTTCGGCCTCGTGTAGCTGCCTATGCAGATTCCAATCCTGATATCACGCTTGGGCGACGCAACCCCACGCAATGGGCGCCACCTGGCCGCCGTTTCTCACTTCCCTCTAGAGGACACCGCTTGCCTGTAGTGTGCTGCTGCTGCAAAGCCTTCCCGTGGTGCCGAGCTCGAGGAAAAAAACGGCCTGCTTGGCTGACGAGGCTCGCGGCGACCGGGGCGCGGTGCGACGGCGTGGGCGCGGAGCTGGCTCCAAGGGATCGTGCCGGAGCGAGCAGGGTGGCGACTCGGCAGGAGCGGCCGAGGAGGGCGCCACGGCGACATCGGAGAGTTGGGCCCCCGGGGGCCCAGAGATCTAGGCCTTCCAGTTGGGGTCCGAGTAGATGGGGTCAGAGGATCGCGCCGCAGCGCCGATGCATCACCGATGTGGCTCGCTGCAGGAACTGAATTTCTCCACGCCGATGGCGCCGATACATCACCGACCTCGCCAAGGCCTCGGCGATGCGGCGCGATCCTCCAACCCCATCTACTCGGACCCCATCTAGGAGGCATATAAGAAAACTCTCCACTCGCTCTCCCTGGGCGATCTCGGGCGTGATCCAACGTGGCTCGAGTTGCAGAACAGTGATGTCCCTCGGTTCGGCCTGTTCGGTTGCTTCGCGGTCGGCTGCATTCGGTCGGTTCTTTTCGGTCGGTTGCCTACGCCGCTGCCGTTTTGACTGTCGCCAAGTGCTGCCCCCCCCCCGTAATTCTTGACGCTTCGCGTGTTTACGCTCTCGGCGTGCAGCTGCCATCCAGTTACGTATCTCTTGCGGCGGTTAGCTGCACCCCCCTTTTCCACGCCAGTCGCCCCTTGCGGGCTGCAGGAGCCCTCCCACTGCCGGTCGGCCCTGTGACTTCGGAAGGTCGGCGGTGTCCACCGAGGTGAGGGTGGCTGTGGCGGGTTGCCTTGCCAGTGTGGCGCCTCGCCCATGTTTCTCGGCGCACCTATCCCTTTCCACCGGTACCGGCTCATCCGTCGGCCGCCGCCAGCCCCAACAGCTCTGTACTGGTGTTCGCTGGCTGCGCGCTGAGTGGTTTAGCTTTCAGCGCCGTCAGCCCGCTTTCTACCCCCAGTTGCCGGTTCTCCGGATTGGTGCCAGTTGCTTGTCTGGGGTGATACTCGGAGCTTGGCGCCGCAAGGGCGACGTTCCGTAGCACCCGCACCACTGTGCGCTCGTTTTTTTGGACCGGGCGGCGCCTAGGTGCGACACGGCGAATGCGGAGCATTTTGCTCAGTGCACGTGCGCCGCACCTTGTGTGCAATTAGTTCCGCCGTCCCGGACACGCTTGTTGCCGCCAGACCGTAGTCGCGCGGCGGCTGACCAAAAAGTTTCTCCACGAGCCGATCCAGAAACGATGCTCAGTGAAGGGGGAGAATGAGGAGGAAAAAAAAAGGGAAAAAAGGGAAAACAAAGAGAGAGGAGGAGGAGGAGGAGGAGGAGGCAAAAGAGGCAAGACGATGAGGAGAAGGAGTACGAGGATGAGGAGGACAAGGACTAAAAGAGTGAGGAGGAGGAGGAGGAGGAGGAGGAGGAGGAGGAGGAGGAGGAGGAGAGGAGGAGGAGGAGGAAGAGGAGGAATAATAAGAATAATCAGAAGAATAAGAAGAAGAATAATAAGAAGAAGCAGAAGAAGAGGAAGAAGAAGAGGAGGAGGAGGAGGAGACTGTATTGACAGCTATCAGTTTCAAGCCATCACCCGAGCTTGGAAGCGAGGCGAAGATGACGAATCCTACCTCGTGCCAGCCGCCACGGCAGTAGCCAAGGCATAGTCTGGCATGGGCAGCGCAGATATCTTGCAGGTATAAAAGGGGAGGAAGGCAGTTTTGCATGTTGGAGGTGTGGGAGCCGCAGGAGGACGCTTCCCACTGCTACTGGACGTGCCCTTGCCTCCCAGATTTTGCCCGTTTTCACCCAGCCACTGCTGAATCACAGCACCTCCTCCAGCGAGCTATTGCCGAGGCTCCAGCCAATGCTATCAAGTGGTTACGAGGCCTACAGCCGCAGGAGCATACGGTTGGCTTGGCTGCTAATTTCCATGGTGCCGAGGACCCCCAAGGAACTGGAGTATTGCGACTCCCCTGGGCTTATCGGTTCCCTGATTGGCGTGTTGTTGAAATTAATGCGTCGGGAGGTAATTTCACTGGGGATCCGAGGCTCAGGAGGATTGGATGGGGCCTTGCGTTGTTCGATCAGGACATCCGTGCGGTTGGCAAGATCTTCGGCCCCGTCCCAGGCAAGCAGACCATCAACCGCGGCGAGCTCATCGCCGCCATCAGTGCACTCGGATTGCAGGGGCCTATCCACTTAGTCACCGATAGTATGTACGTTTTCCGAGGGTATAGACATGGGGCTCTTTGGCGGCACATATTCAATACTGACCTCTGGAATGTGTTATGGAAAGTTATTTCGAATCGGGCCCATCCCTTCACCCTAGATAAAGTTACGGCCCACTCCTCTCTTGAAGATATTGGGCCTGGAGTTGTATACCCTGTCTTCTATTTCGTCAACCACGTTGCTGATGCAGTAGCTAGGAGGGGAGCAGCCTTCTACGAACTGCCTGAAGAGATTCTCGATCATGTTCGCGAACAAGATCATGAGATGAACCTAATAGTTAAGCGCCTTGCTGTCATTCAATCCCTGGCCTGGACCTACGGGCCCAGAGTCGGGGCTTTGACGGCCCCCAGGGACGCTTTGGTCCGACGGCTTCGGGAGGCTTTGTTGAGCCCGCATCCCATCGAACAGCATGGCGATCGTACAGTGTGTGAGGTGTGCTCGGGTTGGGGTCCTAGGGAAAGTTCGCTGGGTTAATCGACCCTGCCACCCTGGAGTTTTTTTACGCCCACGAGTCACATCGTCCCCACCTCCGTACATATAGGGGGTGACGTTATGTATTAGATGTGGGGGTGGTCGGCCCATCGGAGCAGGAAGCTCCGAGCAGAGTGCATGCCTGCCACCCCCACAGGATTCAAGGCCATCCGTCGACTCACTTCCCGCCAGCTTCCCCAAGGGCTACTGTCCTGGCCCTCAGGAGAGTTAGCGATGCCCCGAGAAGGAGCCGCCAGGCGAGCAGGAGTCGGGCCCTTGCAGTAGGCCCGACGCGTGGGCCCGCGGCGCGCGCGGAGCTGCCCCCCATACTGGAAACTGGAAACTGGAGGAGGAGGAGGAGGAGGAGGAGGAGGAGGAGGAGGAGGAGGAATAAAAAAGGCGGAGTAGAGGAGTAGGAGGAGGAGGAGGAGGAGGAGGAGGAAGAGGAGAGAAGTAGAGAGAAGAGGAAAAGGAGGGGGAAGAAGGAAGGAGGACGACGATGAGGACAGAGGGGGAAGGAGGATAACGAAGAAGGAGGAGGAGGAGGAGGAGGAGGAGGAAAAGGAGGAGGAGGAGGACGAGGACGAGGAGGAGGAGGAGGAGGAGGAGGGGCAGGAGGGGCAGGACGAGAAGGAGGTGGAGGAGGAGGAGGAGGAGGAGGAGAAAATGGGCGAGGAGGAGGATGAAATGGGCGAGGACGCGCCTCTGTTGGGGCCCTCTTGGGCCAGGTCCCCCCGCGAAGGGAAGGGGGGTTGTGGAAGAAAAAAGAGATCACCGCCCAAAGGGCTGGTGAGATTGCCCGAAGGACTCCATGAAAATGGGGGGGAAGGATGGAGAGGGCGAAGGTGGGTAAGGATTTTGCCTGGGAGTCGAGCCGTGGACGATCCCATCTCCTGCTGCTGGAAGCTCTTTCTCGGGGAAGGAGTAGGGTGGGCCAGGCCCGCGACAGATTCGGGCATCCCATAGAATAGTTGTTGCGGAGTCGTCGTGTGACACGGTCGGGGCTCGAGTGGGCAAAGGTTATGTCAGATTGGCCATAAGTCTAATTGAACCTAGTCCAGAGGAGATGGAGGATTTGTGGTCGGCCAGATGTGCGCAGGCGGAGGAGGAGGAGGAGGAGGAGGAGGAGGAGGAGGAGGAGGATAATGAGGAGGAGGAGGGGCGGATTCACCCTGCTTTCTCCCCAGCTGTCTAAAGCGTTGTCTCAGCTTTGGCATCGTCGATGGCAGAAGCCCTCGTACGCTTGGAAACTTGAAGCGGCTCTTGTCCAATTGGCCAAGGTGCAGGTCGTCGCTGTCTCATGTCCCAGGCTGTTGGCAGCTGCATACGAGGGGGTGGTGCGAGGGAAGCCGGCTCCCATGGAGATGTTGGGTGTTTCGAAGAAGGCACGGGGGCGTGTTAGCTAGCGGGGCGGGTCTTCTCAGACGCCTCGGGTCCTTCCTGAGAAGGCCCTTGGGGCTCCTGAGAGGCCCCGCCCCGCCTTCTGAGAGAGGGCCATCCCCATCGCCACGCTCTTTTCTAGGAGGGGAAAATAAGCACACAGAC